GTGTCAACTATCTCATTGTGGTAATATACTTTCTGTTAAAGTTAGCAACATCTTGAAATAGCAATATTACTTATTAGGTGAATTAGCTAAAATAACAAATTTTCTGAATGAAAGTGCAGACTATGAACAGGACTATTTTGTGAATTTAGGATGAAAAAGGGGAAACTGGTGGTGAAAAGTTTAAAAGATTTATAATGATTTCTATATCAACAAATGCAATAAAGTGTTTAGATCGCTATTGTGATTTAGGCCCTCTATAATTGAGATCAGTTTCTTAGCCCCGCTATCGAGTGGTGCTAATCATTGTACTGATTCATTTCGTGATGATATCTTTAATTTTCTAATTTTGATGAATATTGTTGTCATTTTTGGTAAAAAGTGATATTTTTGACTTGTTGAAAACCGCAAATCATATACTTTGATACATATGGGTACCTCTAATGGATCTCTTCCAGATTTTTTCATTTCGTGATGATATCTTTAATTCTCTAATTGAAATGTGCATTGCTCTTAGTCGACAGGCTGCTTTTAGGTTTGTTTTCTGTCTTGTTTTTGACGAAAATAATGGTTGCTGATTGACTATTCAAATAAAGTTTAATAACAGCTCTCTGATGCATTATGCAACATCTAAATAGTCATGTGACTTGTTTTTAAAGTACACTTACTGTGTGGCTCACACTTTTTTGGTGGGACAACCTTTATGTGGTTTTTCTGATCAAGTTCAAACATCAGACATACACAAATGCATTTTTTTTCATGATCCTATTCAAGATGGCTGAATGGCAGCCATTTTAATGACAGTTGACACCAGATTTAAAACCCAATGCACTCGTCAGTCATTAATTATATAACTCAAGCTCATATTGCCATTTCATACTGTCTTGTTTGCATACTATATGGGCTAGGTTTTAACCATTACGCTATGTTATGTTTTTAGGTTTGTTTTTGGACCATGTCTGCTGAAAGGCAAACACTAAAAATACGTAAAGTCTTTTTCAAGTCTATTCTACGACAAGAGATTGGTTGGTTTGATAAACACCAAAGTGGAGAGTTAACTACACGCTTGACAGAGTATGTACCGGTATATGCTGCCACCAAGTGGCAGACTGTTAAAAAACTTATAATTTTATTAGAAATTCTTGTTTGCCAGTTATTTTTATGAATGTATCCAATAAAGCAAAATCAATTCCTGCAATTTACACCTCTCTGAATTTGAATTAATCACCAAAATGCAACATGTGATCAAATCTAATTATATGTAATTAAAGTTTTAAAATATTTACAAAATATGCCCCATTTGTCATTACACTCATGTAAGTTAATTCATAGATATGAATCAACATAGAACATTTATTGAACATTTATTAAATTCCTTTCTCTAATGATTCAAAACTAGAAAAATACTCAATAAATTGTCAAATAAAACACAACCCAACAAAACTACAGTCTAGTTTTTGAGAAAATGAGGCTAATAGAACGCTGGGAGTTTCACCTTTAAAAATATTTGTTCTCTATTTAGTACATTATAAGATTATCCTGGCAACTCAGTCATGAACTATGACCTTTGTCAGTTGTTTGAATTTTATCACATTTTGCGATAAATCAACATTTATAAAATTAATGAAGAAATTAAAGAAAAATACACAAAATTATCCAAAATGTTGCCCATTTTACCAAAAAATCATTATTTGTGTATTTTCAGTGATATGGAGCAAGTACGCACTGGTATTGGTGATAAGTTTAGTCTAATTATTCAGTTTACTGCTGCATTCTTCAGTGGGTTTGCCATAGGATTTTGGAAAAGTTGGAAGCTTGCGCTTGTGATGATGTCATTGACTCCACTTTTAGCCATAGCTGCAGGAACAATGGCTAAGGTAAATAAACGCTGTTATTTGAACAACTTGTGTTTTTATGCCTTATGACAATTTTCTAGAAATTTATTTTTGCCATAATTAATCGATAAAATGTGATCAAATCAAATTATATGTAATTAAAGTCTTAAAATATTTATAAAATATGCCCCAGTAGTCATTACACTTATGTAAGTTAATTCATTGACATGAATCAACATAGAACATGTATTAAATTTATTTAACATCCAGTGATAGTGTTAACATATCACCTGATGAAAACATCCACTGATAGTAGGCCATGTGTTAACATATCACCTGATGAAAACATCCACAGATAGTAGGCCATGTGTTAACATATCACCTGATGAAAACATCCACAGATAGTAGGCCATGTGTTAACATATCACCTGATGAAAACATCCTCAGATAGTAGGCCATGTGTTAACATATCACCTGATGAAAACATCCATAGATAGCAGGCCATGTGTTAACATATCACATGTACAATATAAACGTTCATGCAAATTGCTCATAGCATGCGTCTTGCACATTAAACAAGACACATAATAAAATGACTGAATTTTAGGTATGTTGTCTACTCAACACATAAAAATGATTTTAATATTTGTTGCATTAACCATGCCTACGTGCAATCCATGACAGAATAGGAAGTCCGAAAACAGGGACTTATGTTTTGACTTCTGTGTGTCCGTCCGTCCGTCCGTCCGTCTGTCCGTTCGTCCATCCGTCCGTCCGTCTGTCAGTCTGTCCGTCAGTCCGTCCGTCCGTCTGTCCGTCAGTCCGTCTGTCTGTCCGTCAGTCCGTCCGTCTGTCCGTCCGTCCGTCTGTCTGTCCGTGCTTCCGTGTGCGCGTCCATACCTGTATCTTAGAAATGCCTGGACCAATCACAATCAAACTTCACACATACATCAGCCATTTTTGTTCTAAAAATCATCAAAATCAAGCATTTTTCCGCTGTTTACAGATGTATTTTGTTCAAACTTGGTATACACGTTGGACATTTTAGGACCTTGATGCACATCATTTTGTTTTCAGATAAGATTCAAAATGGCCGACTGGCAGCCATTTTGTTTTAATAAATGTCGTTCTAGTGCCATATCTCTGACTTGCTGTGACTGATTATGTTCAAATTTTAAATATTCATTATACTTCTTGTCATAAATATACAGATATATTGGTTCGACGATCCTATTAAAAATGGCCGAATGGTGGCCATTTTTGTGTTAAAAAAATCATCAAATATCAAACATTTCTGGCATTTATGGATGGATTTTGTTCAAACTTGGTACATACATTAGACATTACGGGTTCCTGATGCACATTATTTTATTTTTTAGATCGGATTCAGAATGGCTGACTAGTGGCCATTTTGTTTTAATGAATGGGCTTTTAGAGCCATATCTCTGACATGCATTGACTGACTATGTTCAAATTTTATATATTCATTATACATGTATTCAAAATGGCTAGTTTTGTTAGTCCCAGTTCGGACGTAATCCGAAAACGGGGACTTGTATTTTTCCCTGTGTGCGTCCGTGCGTCGTGCATCCGTGCGTCTGTGTGTCCGTGATCACCTGTATCTCAAACATGCATGGACCGATTAAGTTCAAACTTCACTCATACATCACACATTTTATGGGACATATGCACATGCATTTTTTTCATGATCCGATTAACGATAGCCGAATAGCGGCCATTTTAAGGCCGAAAATGCATTGAAATCGCAAATTTTCACCATTCCGGACCCGGATCTCAGTTATGCATGGACGGATTTTGTTCAAATTTGGTACATACATTAAACATAATAGGACCTTGATGCACGTAATTTTTTTCGGATCAAGTTCGAAATGGCCGACTGGCGGCAATTTTGTTTTAAAGAATTCAGTTCTGGATCCGCATCCAAGACATGTCTGGATTGATCAAGTTCAAACTTCACACACACATGGTACATCATGTCACAAATAGATTATGTGCATTTGTTTCATGATCCGCTTAACAATAGCTGAATGATGGCCATTTTAAGGCCGAAAATGCATCAAAATCACATATTTTCACAATTCCAGAACCGGATCTCAGTCATGCATGGATGGATTTTGTTCAGATGTAGTACAATGTGTTGTACATATGCAGGTGCATTTCGGATCAGACCACTGAAAGTGGTCTGAGATTTCGGTCATGATCTGCTTTGAATGTATATGTCACTCAAATATGAACTGAACGGAACGGGGACGTGTCATTGACAATGACTTGTTTTAATTAATGCTGTTCCAGAGCAATATCTCTCAATACTCGTTTGACGATCAGATACAAATGTCAATCATTTAAATGTTAAACAATCATCATAATCATATTCCTATATCTTAAATTTGATAAC